TGAAGCAATGGAACTCCTAATCCTAACAGACATCGATGAAACTGTTGAAGGAGAGGAAACTCCAATGGATATCGATACATAGGTAATTAGTTTTTAAATTTATATATTTTTCACGTTTTTATATTTAATAATTAACCGTGACTACAAGATACACCTAATAATTTTGGTACAGTATGTGTGAAAAAGGGTTAGATGTATATAGCCTTGAAGGATTGCGTCATTTTTTATCTCAGTTATTCTGCTTGACATGAATAAAAAGTGTGCAAATTTATAGAACAAAATTCTAAGCAGTTCCGAAGTTATTGGCATGTCCAGTTATTTGCCTTACTCGTTCCACTGCGTTCCAACGCGTCGTCGACGGTTCGATTGACGCACACATATTCACATACGAGCTGCGAATGAGCGTGCGGTCGAGCACAAAAAACGAACAAACTGCGCCCTACAGAAAAAACGAGGAACTAAATTTGTGGTCTGTTTTACCTTTTTGACGTCTTTCGCGAGCGAAAGATCAACGAAATTGTAGTTTTCGGTTTTTGTCTAAACGAAAGCTTGTACACCATCCCCTGGGTCCTCGTTTTGCTCTATCCGACCCAAAGAATGGCGCTCTGGTCTCTATTTGGACATTCATTTCGAAAAAATGTTTATATTACAAATAAATTAATGCAGGTGAGTCTGATCCGCCATTTTCTTGACTGTGGACAGACACAAATTTTAATATTTTATAACTTTTTGACGATTTGGGTAAAATAAGGACCAGAGCGCCATTCTTTAGGGCCTTCTGGACACGTCCCTCAAATTTTTTTGCATTCTGTTTAGAAATGACGACGAAAACCGAAAACTCGCGTCTAGGGATTTTTCTAGAGACTGTCGGTAAAGTTTTCGACGCTCGCATCGCCTTAAGATGATGCAAGCGTCGAAAACTTTACCGACAGTCCCTAGAAAAATCCCTAGACGCGAGTTTTCAAATTACGTCCTCATTTCTAAACAGAATGTAAAAAAATTTGTGGGGCGTGTTCAGGAGGTTCTAAAGAATATTTGTCTGGTCCTTATATTATCCAAATCGTCAAAAACTTATAAAATATTGAAATTACTGTCTGTCAACGGTCAAGAAAATGGCGGAACGGACTCACCTGCATTGATTTATTCATAATATAAACATTTCTGCCAATAGTTTGTCCAAATAGGGACCAGACTGATATTCTTTGGGTCGGATAGAATAAAACGAGCACCCAAGGGATGATGTACAAGTCTCCAGGTAGAAGTAATTTGAAAACTACGATTTCGTTGATTGTTCATTCGCGAAAGACGTCAACAAGGTAAAACAGACCAGAAATTTAGTTCCTCGTTTTTTCTGTAGGGCGCAGTTTGTTCGTTTTCTGTGCTTGACCGCGCGCTCATTCGCAGTTCGTATATGTGAATATGTGTGCGTCGACCGAACAGTCGATGACGATACAATGTATCGTGGAGAATGGGAAGTTCGAGTCTTGAAGAGGCGATGAACTCCGACGCGTAAATTTTTTTTCACGCATCGTTCTATTGACTATGATAGCGATTTTCAACCCATGTGTCACAAGACGTACTATGATTATTTTTTGTTGCTATTATTATTCTTTTTTTTAGTGAAACTGAATAACAAATACGTCCTTCCCGATTTCGATGATTTTTTGATATGTTATAAAAATTGATATTCTGAACAATTTGGTGAAATACTGATTACTTATGAAAAGCACCCCAAAAATAAATAAGTTGCCAGAGTTATTAAAATATTTTTAGACAGATAAGTTAGTATGTTTTTTCAGCATAGAATGTGATATTATGCTGGACTCTCCTGATTTTGCGTTATGTCCAAATATTGGATGAATAGGTAACGAAAATGTGATGCTGGAAGAACAACACGGCTGGAGCGAGTTCTTCAATGTTGGCGAACGTAGAAAAGGGCAAATAGCGAAAGAGAAAGAGGTCCGAGAATTAAAGGGCCTGAGAAAAAACATTTGAGTGAAACAATATTAATTCAACAATAACTTTTTTATTTTTCATTTTTGCTAAATAAAACTTTTACCAATGTAATTGGAAGGTTCTTCTGATCAAAATAAGACCAAACACGACATAATTTGCATTATATTTACTTATTTATTTAAAACCTAATGCAAATATATAAAGTAACTATAATTCAAATTACGTCGTGTTTGATCTTGTTTTAATCGAAAAATTTCATCAATACGCTAGTGGAAGTTTCATTCAAAAGAAAAATCAGTCATTATAAAGCAACGAAGCGTAACTGCAGATTAAGTACACAAAAAAAAGAAGGTTTATACCAAGCTTAACATTTTCTATTGTATTATGGTAATCACTATATTATAATTTTGTTTCCTTGTTGTATTATAGGAAAGTTAAATGTGCAATATCGTATAAGCGTGGACCAGGTGCAATAGTTGCAAGAAACCTGATATGTATATAACAAATTAAATGAGGAATCAAATTGTATCTAATCCATCTTTCATTGTAATGACCATTCAGAGAATAAAATTATAATAGTTGTAAGGAATAAGAAATAAAACTGACAAACCGTTAAAGATTGAAATTTCTTTATATCCTTACAATTTAACCTAACCAATTTTCCTCGTATGTCTTCGAATTTACGTATTGTAATAGTTAGAATAACAGTAATATCTAATTGAAGAAATTACTTCTGTATCACGTACTTTTATCATATGTACGTACATACATATGTATATATATAAAACTTAAATATTAAAAAAAATATCAAAGAAAGATGCAGTTCAACTCCTTTTTTTAACTGCTTTCCAAGTTAATGTATTTCATAGTATTAATGTATCAAAAATGTATTTTTATGTGTTAGAAAAACGTTAATGTATTAAGAATCAGAACTGAAACCGTAAATTCGGGATTCGAACTGATTCTCCTGGTTTTTTAATTCAGCCATATTGCCATGCACGAAATTATATTATTTTGTCGATTCGTCGATGCTGCTGCCTCGTGCTTTAGCGGCTTGAGCATCGAGCCGATAACGTAGAAATGACGAGAGCAGCCGAACTCTGCCAAACCCGCAGAGAGCTCACACGGACACGTGGGACAACGCGCTTGTGTTAGATGAAACAACTGCGGTAGGGGAGTCACTGGGACGTCGTGGGACGTCGTGGAGAGGGTAAAGATTTGTCCCACGTCCCACGGTTCTGGCATCACTGGACGTAACAACCATCTCCCCACAACTCGTGTGGCGTCGCTGAGCGTTTCCGCTTCCGGCGCTCGATTTTCAATTGTTTATGATTTTGTTTATTAATTCAGATTTTAAATTGTTCTCCTTCCTGTCGTTTAAAATTTGTATCGCACCGTTGTGCTGAGCCTCAAGATTTAGTTCATTACTTTTGAATTTATATATTGTTCTTATATTATATGTGTTGTTAAAAAATTCTAAAGTTGTTCCAATTCTTGTTCAGCAGGAAACCTTTTTGCAACAATTCAATAAGAGCCCTGGTAGAAGATGGAGTACACGCAAGCATTGAGCATGGCCTATAGTATCACTGACATAGAGGAATATGCTATTCAAATCGCTACTGTGATATGTAGTTGTGGGGAAATGAACATCGATCAAGCTAGATCTTATTACAAACTCATTAACCCTGATGCGTGGGACGCTGCAGATGAACATCGCTTTAAGATGATTGCGAGCCTGATGCAATATGAGGGGTTCAACCCAAGGCAAATGATTGCCGTGCTACTTCGAAAGCATAAGGATATGGCTCAGAACATCGAAGCTTCTCCTGATGCTTTGACGTCAGTATCTGGTAAAGTCATGGATAGAGATCAGGGACGCTCAATCTTGGTCTACACAAGCAATGAGGCTTTCCATCGTGACATGCGATTTGTCTGCTGGATGTTCATTATCCGTACAGCATCCTTTGGCAAGATCAAAAATATGAACAAGAAGCTTATGGTAAAAATCATAGATATGTTAAAACACAAATACGATATCAACACGACAAAAAGAAAGCCAGGTGTTTCCTTAAATTCAAAGATCATCACTGTTCCACGTATAGCAGCTTGTTTCCCAATAGTGACTGTAAAAATTTTTCTTGAAGAACATGGACGGCCCATCTTTGAACCATCAATCATTTTCGGGGATGTGCAAATGCCTCGTGCCATGTTGGCTCCTATGGTGGCTTCCTGTATACCATATAATTTGAAAATATTCCAATCTATATTATTGGCAGTGTCTGTTGCCAAGGATTGTACTCTTCATTCAGAGGGCCAGAGAATCCAACTCAAACGGCTTGCAGATATTCTTGAAGCCTCTTTCAGTTCCAATGCTGTGCCTGAGGAGGAAAAAACGAAAGTATGCATAGACTAGGGTCTTCTACTGAAGGAGAATGAACCTGCTCCATTTGTTGAGGCAGCTAGACTAAAAGCTGTGGAGTATGTTCGGCGAGTGAGGGTTGGTGATCTAGATTTGGAACAAGTTTTAGCTTCCATGTGAGTAGAGAGGCAAGTGACAGAAGTAAAATTAGACGTTAGACGTTAAATTTGCATGCTAGAGCTATCATGGTGTATGAAATGTGGTTTCTAGCCCTATCATGCTTAATAAAACTTAATCAAGTATCCTGATTCTGTCACAAACCCTTACTATTAAGAACTAGCAAAACTCACATTTGTCCTACAAATTTGGCATTATCTGAGATTTGCTGCATATAAAACGAGTCACGGGATGGTAATTCAGAACCATGAGTACGGGCCCATACTGACTCTACTAAACATGAACTCACTCGAAAATCGACGGATAGTATGTGATCTATTCTATATGTATAAGTTAGTCAACGGCACTATACGATGTTCGCAGTTACTCGAGAAGTTGAATTTCTATGTCGCAAACAGGACGTTCCGTATTACTTCTGTTTTACCCGTGTATTTATAACATTAATTTAACTTTCTCAGATTCTGTTAACCGCATGTTATTTAGCGAATCATTATTGCCATTGTATTGATTTCTTCTCCGGATCGACCACTTTATTTAAAAATAATCTTGTTAGACTACTTGAACACAGTTAATGTATTACCAACTCCAGAAGTTGTAGTGACGCACTATTATAATTGTAACCGCACTGTACATTAAAGGGATGTTTTTCCATATACAAAGAAATAAATTAAATTAAATTATCTATACATAGTAAATTCTAAATATACAATGATCCATCTGCTGGACCTAAATATCTCATTGAAATGAGTATTACATCAATCAGTGTCCATACTCCGAGTCCTCCAAAACTGAACAATTTACCAATTCCCTCTTGCCAATGACCCAAATAAAACCTGCAATTTATACTAAAATAAGTGAACTAGTTTTAATAGATATTTAATATTTCGTTTATAAAATATACCTGTCAGCTCCAAAACCTCCTAATGTAATACTTAAAATTAGAGCAGTGGACCAACGATATCCTACAGTCCAATTGCATAACAAATTTTTCATAAATTTACGTCTTCCTAAACACAATATATCACCGTTTACTGTACAATTTGTTCTATAATACTGTCGAGGAGAAGCTACAGAGCTACAAGAATTTTTTTGATGACATTCATGCTCCCAGTGTTCCGTTTGATAACAATAACGGCATACATATTTTTTTTGGAAGAATTGCTCACCCTTAAATTTCATTGTACTAATTAGTATTAAATACACATTAGATAAAATGATGTCATATTTTTATATTACTTACAACACAATCAATGTGTTCCAAAACGGAACAGTTAGCAAAATATACATCTCCGTATACACAATTAGGATCTAAATTACATTTTAAACATTCTCCACTTAATTCTGAACAAGCAACACCACCTGGACACGATCTTGCAATTTCTTCCTATGAAGATTGCAATTATTTAAGATACCTTTTTAGTATTTTACTACTGTATTATTTTAGTACTATACCTTTTTACTATTAAATGCAGGCGTGGAATTCACATTGGCCTCTTTCATTGCATAATTAATCACACTATCTGTAATAAATTTATTATATGAAAAATATTAACTTTTAATTAAAAAATTGTTCATGAAAACATATAAGGTTAAATTGAATTTACCATAACCCAAATGAACCTCTTTTACAGTAATTGACAAAATTGCCAAAAGAATGAAAATCACATTTCTTGAGTTAATTCGTACAACATTCATTATGAATAGTGTTTCATTGATCGAATAGACACTCGATATACACGGAAACTCAATAACCTTCTACTCATTTACGTGCAGTAAAGAGTATAATTCGCACGACTAGTTCATTTGAAGTTTGAATTAAAAATTCATGCGTACGACAAAATTTCACTCGTCCTAAATTAAGAGACTAAGTTTTATAATCTTCAAGGCTAGTACGAGAAAAATTGGGAGTAGATATGATTAAATTCCATCCGAATCAAAACAAAACAACGTGATTCTAGGGACTACTGATGTTATATTTTTCGCACTCGTTTCATTGACGTTATCTAAACTCTCAGATAATATATATACAAATGCATTTTTCGCGTTAAAATTATAACATATTGCGACGATTTTTCTCGTGAAATACATTACTAATTTAAATATTATCCTTATCATGCTTAAGTAGCCGTGTACGAATTGTATGAAATATTTTCTATTAAATATAGTAGTTTCTCTACTATTAAATATATGTACAAGTAAATGTATGTCTCCTCACGATTGGTTGATATCTTCCTTAAACTATAAGACTAGATCGTTCGTGTACTATATTACAATGTCTTCTGACTTAAAAGAGAGACTTTCTAGATAACATTTCCTTTCAGGCAAATCATAGACGCATTTATACATGCAACTTGTGCATTAATATTTTGTAAATATTGAGAGAACTTGACAATCTTGTTAATGTGAAGAAAAGTCGTGAGGATTTCCTCTTCAAGTCGCTTGTGTTCGTGTTAATTGGAACAATGTGCGTTGCTATTTATTGTTATGAATGATCGAACAGTTTTTCGAAAAAACGTTAAAATAACGAGGTTCCGTATATGTGCGTACACTTGTTTCTAACAATCAGCTGACTTCCGGAACTAATACGGGCGAAAATGTTAGTGAGGTTTTGCATTCTTTCCGCTTGACATAACAGCCCACATATAAGCAAACAAGTGCTTTATTTTTTTCTAATTCTATTAATCAGAAACTGACATGTTTAGTTCTTTGTGATATAAGCTTGTTTGAAAATAAACTAATACGATCCGTGTAATCGTGTAACTGTTGAACAGATAATTTAGAGGTAAAAAACATGTTAACACTTTTTTTATGATACATAGTTTCATGCGACGGTTATGCTATATCTATTTAACACAGCTTTCAATTATTTTATTAGTCATTGAATAATTTTTAATTAATTACATATTAATCTAGTATATGGGTAACTTGAGGTACAGAGAGATAAAAATCATTCTTATTTAATTTTTAATAGATAACATACCAGTTATACAGTAAAGATAATATGAATTCTGAAGAAGGTACAAGTAATAACCAAAACAAAACTGAAGCAAGAGTAGAAGGAAATTTAAAGAAAAATGGTAATCAATCAATTGATCAAACAACCAAATCATCTAAAGTTACACTGCTTGAAAGCAAATTATGTGGAAATCAACTTAAGTTAAATAATAAACTAGATGAGAATAGTGCCAAGAATCATTTGTCTTCTAAGGCTTCAGTTGCATTTGCTAATGGTACAAAATCCATTCAAGCTAGCACATGCAATTTCACTAATTCTATGGACCAAGATAGAAATGATGGCATGTTGAACATGAGTGTACCTTCCATGTTTTTGAATACTAATAATATCAAGCCTCAAACTGTGAACAATACTGTTACAAGTCAATTGAAGCATAAGACTGTATTAAATACCAGCGCTTTAAATTTGCCTAAACCTCAGATGCACTTAAATTTATCTTCCAATCAAATCAACAATACCCATACAAATCATGCTTGTTCTTATAATGCTGGCACTGCGTCAAATCCTGTTTTACATTTAAACAATTCAGCACTAGCTTCTTCTTCGATGCAACCAAATTTATCAGGAATTAAACCAAATGAAGATATTGATATGAAAAATAATGTAGATTATATTTCTGGAATTGAGAAGTGTCCGTCAAAAGTGTCGTGCAGTTCAGATTCAAGTCCTGAAATGGATGGTGCCTGGGCATCAAAATCCTATGGATCTAAGTGTGTATTAAACAATATAGGAGGTAGTATAGGTTCCACAAGTCAAGGAACATGTTGTTTCTTAAGACCTAATATTAATGGTAATAGAGAAGTAGCAGGACCAAGTGGATTGCAAAAAGTATGTTTCATAAGTTAGTATTAGAATGTGTTTATTAATGTATTATGAAGTAATTCCAACTTTCTAAACTAGAGTATTCAAAAAGAACCAAGCGAAAGGAGGGATTCAAGTTCTGGAAATGAGGGTGATATGTCAGATGGAGAAGATTATTGTATTTATACATACAAAGGAAATGACGACGTGATTCATTTAGCTCAAAAGGAAGAAGTAAATCAGAGACAAGTAGAAGAACACGAAGAAGAAGGACAATATCATAGCGGTAGATCAAGTCCAGAGATGGACTTTTTAGAAATGGATTTTGATCCTGGGCCTTCTTGCGAACAGGTATTGAATAATTCTAGTTAAGGTGTAAGATTATTTTTTATCTAAACATCTTTAATACAGGATACAGGAGATAGCGATTTGGCCTCTATAAATGAAGACATACAGAATATAGCACTAGATAATGTAGATCCAGATCCAGTATTAAATGACTTAAGTAGTGGTAAAGTTGTGTCTAGACAAGGAATTGCAACTACGTCACAAAATCCTAAACAAAGTGTACAAAATGTGAATAATACAGGACCCCAGCAATGTTCTAGTAGCCAACCTGCACCAGAACCAAGTATAAAACCAAGTTATCCTTCATCATGGATGCCAAGCACGAGTGGTGCTACTGGTACATTGTTACTACTACTATATATTATAGAAAAATATTTCGTTCGTTTATAGCACTACGTATAACTATGAATCTATAGGAAAATGGGAAACTCTTGGCATGCATCGTAATACAGGATGCCCCTTACGAGAATCTTACGGATATCATAATACGAGCGGAGATCTTATTTCACCCGGTGACAATAGAGATTCCGATTCAGAACTTTGGGCTGAATCTTCAGCAGCTTCTGTTCCAGAAAATTCAAATTTAAATTCTAGGAGAGTGAATCTCAGTTCAACTCTTTATCACCGCATGATGGCAAAGAAATTGATGCTCAATAAACAAGCTGCATTTAATCAGAGCGGTGACTCGAATCTAGTTAATATAACTCACTATAATTTCATATCGAGTTTTACAATGCATTGGGGTAATTACATAAATTTTTATATTTATAGGAAAACGAACTGTCTAATGAAAGATTAGATGGCCTTTTACCAGTTGAAAAAGTTATGCTATGGAGTGAACAAGAAGCTACAGTGAAGCAAGTAACACAAATTGGAACTTCCGCTTGTGGTGCTACTTCCGCAATAAACGCTTTAGTATGTGTTCTATTAACTAGTTTTTATACTATTTTAAAACTTTAACTAATTAATGACATTTCATAGCTGGCTTTAAACGTATCATTTTCATTGGAAACGCTAGTAAAAAGTGTAAACACTAGACAAAGAGAACCAGGCACACCATTACCGCGATATTTATATAGCCGATCGGTGGCAGGATCGACACACAGAGATTTGGCTCGTGGTATCGCTGCAAGTGCGAATGGTACAGTTATAACAAAGTTCTTTGCATTTTATCCGGAAAGGAAAATTTCTCTGTCTCATTGGTTACATTATTGGATATCAAGAGGTAAATGATTAGGAAAAAATATGCAAAGGATCAGTGTTTCGATTGCTTGTTATGTAAATATTTCCTTATTGTATCATAGGTGCTGCACCTATAGCAACGTTAAATTTACAACATTGTGGAGAAGGGTGTGATATTCCGGATGCTTGGCATCACCAAATGATATTTGGTGTAGGACAAGCAGGAATATATTTAACTAATCCATTAGAATGTTTACCCGAACAGGTTGGTTAAAATTAAAATTAATAATTTAAATAATTTAAATAATACAAATTTTAATGAATTTTAGTACGTTTGGCATCAACTTGTAAGTCCCAGTATTTTATTAGTACGAAGAGCTGATGTTTTAGCTCACTGGAATCCTAATACAGACCTAACACCACTCGCTACTATGGATCATAAGTGGCGAAAGCTCAACGTTCTCGGTATATTTAATTTCTTATTTCAGAGACATAACCTAATACGTTGAGATTGTTAATATTATTTTAATATATTTCATTATTAGGGCAAGTTGTAAATATGGTACGCGAAGCAATGTCCCAGAGGCGACAAGCAAATAGTGTAACTAATGGTGCAACTCACATTCGTATTCCTGCGTCCTATCAAGCAGGAATTACATTAGTTATGTGTGCAGATTCTGCTGCTGCTTCCGAGTTGTTAAATGCTGAACAATTACCATTACTCTAGTCTTGTTGATCAAAATTAATAAAATCCAGGCTGCCCCCTTTTTTATTTGTAATAAATTTAATTAGCAGGCTGGTCCGCACAATGTTATTTACAATAGTTCGTTTACTATGCAAAACAATTAGGGTCAGAATTGAAATGATTTACATTTTTAACACGAAATACGTTTGTATTCAAAGAGAATATTAACAATTAAAATATATTTCAATAGAATATTTCCGTTTTATATGCAGTTATATTTATAAATCCATATATTAAAAAAAATTTTAACAAAATATTGGGGCTTGTATGTTTTATTTTTGAATGGTAAACGTAATGTTTAGATTCCGTCGAAAAAATGGTCACTTTATGCACAGCATTAAATTTGATTTTATTCGTAGATATGATTAAAGGTAAGTTAATCACACGTTACAAATTGCTTTGGTAATTAAAGACAGAACTTAAAGTGTATTTCATATAAATTTTAGTACAGAATATTTCAATTTTAAGTTATTCTATGCTGGAATCATGAAAATGTGCTTGCTAAAGATGTGTCGTTCAAAGCACCTCATTGCTTTGTGCAATTGCATTGACATAAATATTGAACTTATGTACACAGTACAATCTATTTAATAACCTTCTCTTTTTTTGTTAAACTCTCTCAGAGAGTTTATTTTTATTTAAGACATACTGAAAGAAAAAAGTAAAGTATTAGTCAATATTAAAATTAATAATATTTCTTTACTTTAGAAATATGTTACCTTTCTATAAGAGATGCACGCATAGTTGAGGTAATAGCAGCTGGGGCAGCTTCATTAAGCTTAAAAACACTTTCGATCACTGAAAGTTCTGTCGAGGTTGTATCCATACCACAAAAAGATGCCCAATCATTTACAACCATTCCTGCAGCTATAACATCGCTGCCTCTGTTTACTGTACCTGCCTATATGATTTATATATTTTATAAAATATAATCAAATTTTTTCTCCTTTAAATTCTCTGTTTCTTACAGAGATTATATTAAATTATCTTACAGCAAGTGGAACTTGTAATAAAGATGATAGTTCATCTTGATCCTGTATAGATGTTTTTGGATGCACTAAACCACCTTGATTTGATAACACTGAATACGAGCCTACCAAGACATTACTTGCCACAGTTTGTCTAAAAACTTCTACATTCAATGTATCAGCTAAAATTTCTTCCGTTTCCTATAAAATATAAAATTATATGTATCATGGAAACAACCCAATTGAAACTGTCATTTGGAAATACTTGCCCTATCAAGATCAGGATGAACTAGAGCCACATAATCATTACATGCAATCACATTACCCAACGCAGAGAGTCTTTCTTCAATTCTTTGCACTTTAACATTATCTGGCAGTGAGTTTCGTATGTGCTGCAATTCTGTATCTGTAGTTGTGTTTGGGACTAATAAACCATTCTTGTTTCCTATTTAAATTTATTTTTATTATAAAATTGATTAATACGAAAACTTCAAAGGTTACAATTTTTATATCATATATGCTTACCGACACATAATCGGCCTATTATCCGACATCCTGCAACCGATGCGTGAATTACAGGAATGGTTTCAGCTAATTCAGCCTCGAATACACTGTAATTACCAACATCTATTTTATTGAACGTAAATATTTATATTATGTTTTACGTCAACGTGTTTTATAGGTTAAGAAATCAACAGGCCGCTCATGAAAATTATTGCATCATTACGCATAATCGCGAAACAATTCTTACTAACACAATCAAATGTTGGCAGTTAAAACAAACCCCACTACATACACCTATTATTACCTGTAAAAATTCTCGGAACCGCCGATTGCTACGAGGCAGTAAGAATTGGTTAGCTTGGAAAATACTCCGATTTCATTGTTATTTTCGAACTGTACACGTACCGCCATGATTACAATGATGTAAATTTACATTAGCGTTCAACAATTTGTATAAAAACTAAAAAATCAAAGCGTGAAACACTTATCAATGTCTAAAATACGCACGCTAACCTATACTTCACACGCCGATTTCTTTCTACCCGCTACACGAGGTTTATGTCCACCGTTGCCAGGAGATGTCCCTACCGTAGAGATAAAACAGTAACTATAGATACAAAAAGATTGAAGATGTTCATTCATGAGAAGTCATAATTTTGGGGATTCCAGACACCCCGATCCGCAGTACTTACAGAACACAGTCGGTATGACATCGTGCCTGTTTTACCAATCCCTCTTTTACCGTAACAAAAAAGATACAATTTTGACTCCCTCTGATTATGTTTTATAAACAAATGAAGACCAGCACAAGACCGAAAAATTATCAAAATAATTGTAAAACAAATTTTTATTCACTTCATGCTCCTTGGTAAATAAATTATTTTAAAAAAAGCAACTAAGTTATTATTTAATTTACCCAATTTTTTTTCTGAGGACTTTATTTAATTTACACAATTTCCCATTAAATAAATCATTCAAAAAGGAAATTGGATAAATTAAATAATAACTTAGTTGCTTTATTTAAAATGATTTATTTACTAAGGCCCATTAAACAAATACAAGTTTATCAAAGAATTATTTTAATAATTTTTCTGTCTTGCGCTGATTTTGACAAGTGACATGTCATCAACAGAATCAAAGGGAGTCAAAATTGTGTCTTTCTGTTATCAGTGCGTGGTGTGGTGAAGGAGGGACTGATAAAATAGGCACGACTGTCATACCGGCAGTACTCTCTGCATGCAGACCTAACCTCACTTCGGGGTGTCTGGCACCCCTAATTCATATTAAATTGTTCCTCTTACCAAAGAAACTTTGTCTTCATTTTGGATAAGTTTTAATTAACACTACAGGGAATAGTCAAAAGGAATTTTTAATATAATTAACTACGACAAATGATTTTCACACAATTCCTTTATTGAAAGTCTTGCAATAATAGTAGCAACAATTGTACAAAAAAAAGTATTCTCGTAACGAGTCGTATCGTCGCAAGAATAATTTGAAATTTTGATAAAACGCAGATGGCTTCTGCGTATCGAATGCTGCGTTTGTATAATATTAATAAAACCAGTAATTGCTGAAAATCACCGCTTTATTAACAACATTATCATAAGCATTATAAATACGCTTTATATTATAGTTCTCGTTTTTTTGATTGGTTCAGACGTTGTACAGATTTTTATTGGAACATAATGGCAGTATTATTTGGCAAGAAAATTATTTCCACTATGAAATCTATCGATTAACATTTAAAAAGTTAGCGACAATGCTGCGCTTTTTTGATCATTAACGACAATACCGACCGATTCGCGCGAAACCTGTGGCGCGAAAGAAATGATTAACCGATCGATGATTCGTTCGTACGCTATAATATCCATCGATGACAAGAATCGCGGTTAAATTCGAAGAGAACGAATTACGATCGATCACCAGTGTCGATCGTGTATCGCTGTTCAGTCTCCTAATCAATTCTTCTCCCTTCTTTCGTGTTTCATCTTCCTCCCGTTTGTTCGCTCCTTTCCCCTACGACGTGCGCGTGTACATCAATATAAAATAGAAATATGTAGTAAAATCCTCAGTTGTTCGAGCTTGGCTTGAATGTCGTGTACTGGGGTGGCTTCTCGATCTTGCAGTGGGGCTTCAGAGTTGCTAAACGATCGGGTTTGAGAAACAGCTGCTCCCCCTGCACAATTTTCATCTTAAGGATCTTAAACGGTCAGTTTTGCCGCGCACGCATGCGCTCATCCAAAGCGCTGTCGGAAAACTCTACGATTCTACGGGTTCAATTATATACGTAGCAGTCAGGGATGTAAAAAACTAGAATATACAGAGTGCAGCTTGTGCAATTTCATACGTGAAATAGAAAGGAACAGGGCTGTTTTTTTACAGCATCAGAATTTTAATCGAGGCTTTTGTTTTTATTTGAAAGGCGTCATGCTCTTACAAGGGGAACTACCCAAGTGTTACACTCACTTATTAATGAATCTTTGCCAGCTCACACGCATGATAGACTCACACATACAATTCGCAATCTACAGATCCACGGTTCAAATCCTTGGTTCCCAATTTTTTTTTACGATAATTTGTCTCTTTTTGAATAACTATTACATAAAAATTATCATTATAAAAAAAAAAAAAAAAAAAAAAAAAAACAGTAACCCAGGATTTGAACCGTGGATCTCTAGATTGCGAGTTGTATGTATGAGTCTGTCATACTTCTCAATGTAAGTAGTAACTAACTTTAATTATTAATATCTTTTAAACAATTAGTCGTCTGCCCACAAAACGGGGTATAGGCGTGTTCAGCTCGACGAGCTCTACAAGCTGGCAAAGTTTCATTAATAAGTGAGTGTAACACTTGGGTAGTTCCCCTTGTTAGATGGGTCAGGGAACCTTATCTATTTTAACGCGTTCAATGTCACAATGAAAAAGAAAATATTATTTCAAGTCATTTTTTTAGTAGTAACACTGGTTATTGTTTAAACTTACGGAAGTGAACGCGTTGAAAAGCTGAAATACATGGATTTTAATACTTTTTACTATCGATCCATGAGAGGATATATGTACCGGTATCCGGTATATCATTTCGAATGTTTGCGAATGAAAAATAAATACTCGCGCGCACGTTGATATTATCTATATCCGGTATAATATTGTGGTAAACAGTGTGGATAAATGTTTAAACTGGCTTGATTAATCGAAAACGAACAGAGTGGATTGCCTAACGTTCGATTCTTAAACAGAAGTTTTCCAATTTTTGATTAATCCGTTTTTCACCGTTTAAATGTAACATTGAAAACTGAAGATACAAATATAAACGAACACGTACGTTTGAAACTTAACTGTTCAATAATTGATACATCAGAAACACTGATACTGTTCCTCGCTAGACAAACTGGACTTTAAATTACCTACTGTGGATGATTGCAAATGTGCTGTTAATTAGATATGCACTAACTAACTCATGTCGTCGCGTCATGCTCGTAAATGATTTAGCTAACGTGAAGTTTTCCACGGGGTGCACTAGGGATGGTAGGACACGTACAAGCACGAGTAATGCAACATGTAAGATATCGTGTAATCCAGCAAACTTGTCAGATCTACTTTTCCTTGTTTTGTTCGCGAACAGCAATGTAGAAAAATAAACTGAGAATACCGGGAGTCGAACCAGCCTAGTCTCTTGGGTTTTGTATCCAGCTACCTTATCCATTACGCCATAGCCAGTTCTTCGTCATTTATTGGGGTATTTTATTGGGGTTCCAGCTCCTGATCGCGTAATAAGGATAGACGTTCAAGAAAAAGGACCCTCCTACCATTTGCCTCCGATCTTGGGAGAATTTTCGAAAACCTTAGGGAGAGCCTATAGTTCTTCTCTTACATTTAACGTTACACGATATATTACACGTGCTTGTGCGCGTCCATGGAGGGTCTACGGATAACAAACGGACAAGCACACGCATCTGTATGATCATTTTTTTAATGACAACATCATACACGAAAGAGTAATTCGAAGTTCGTTTCAGCTGCTTTCGATACATGTATACTTAGCGTCATCTCACGTTGATTACTCGCTACGTGTCTGAACGGATAAATATTTAAATATAAATCGGCCTTAAAATCTGTTTACGGTTCGTCCACCAATCTACACGTTATGACTTTATAATTGTAAGTGGAATCAGACACGCGTATGTACAGTCGAACTTTCTTGAATAATTGTCAGCTCTTGATTTCGGTTAATTAGAGTAACGTTTCATACGATCTAACAACGGTATCCTCGCAATTGATCAGTATCATTTGATTATTGGAACGAGTAAATCGGTAATCGAACACACGATTATCATCTGTGCTTGCTAATTGTATCGGTGATTACAAGCCGTTAATGGCAACAAGATTCTCTCGGCAACGATTCGTTTTTATTCATTTAATTCTTTTTAACTGTCCTCACAACCATGTGTGTATGTATACAGGGTGTTTCAAAAATGATGTACACCGTGAAAAACGCAAATTATTCGCAGCAAACAGAACCAAGATTCCTTTTGCCATGTAGAATTTATCATTAATACGGTATACATCTATTTTGAATCAATCAGTATGTTCACAGGGTATTAAAAAATTCCCTAAAGACCTCTACGCCGTTGGATAGATCACGAAAAATCGAAGCGAGAAGTTCTGTAGCATTTTTCGATGAGATCAGTAGTTTAGTCACATTTCGTTGTTGAAAATTGAAAAATTGACCAATCAGCGCGCAGCTTGAGTGGCAAGACCCGCGGAGTAGGAGACTACATAGCTTCCTCTGTCGCCGACGAGCTGCGCTGCTGAGCGTCGCGCTTACGCATGCGCCGAGAGTCTTACCACTTAAGCTGCGCGCTGATTGGTCAATTTTTCAATTTTCAACAATGAAATGTGGCTAAACTTTTGATCCCATCGAAAAATGCTACAGAACTTTTCGTTTCGATTTTTCGTGATCTATCCAACGGTGTAGAAGTCTTCAGGGAATTTTTTAACATCCTGTATAAGTAAATGAAGAAATAAGCTTCTTTAATACCTCGACAATAGACGGCGTAATATTTATTAAAGAAGGTGGATACAGTTTACGAGAATCAGTCTTTCGAAGGACGCGTGGCCGTACCGGAAACGGTCCTGTTTCAAATGCGACAACGAAACGAAAGCAGTGGCAAAAGGATGCAATGCAGCAGGTGGACCAAACGAAACTCGTAATGCAATCGCGTTTATATCGATACAGTCAATTCCCTTACAACGCGTGATTCTCTTTCATTCCATTTTATCCACAACGTTAACAAAGGCTCGATCAATGAATTAAACGGTAAACAATCGTATTGTTCGAGATGATTGTGATCGCGTTATAATAGAAGTGGCTGTATCCGCTACTTACGTACACCTACCTAAATGAAATTACCTATAAGGACATTGCGGTAATTGGGAAAGGGACACCGAGGTGAGGGGTATGACTAGATGCAACCAAATGCATGCGTAATGCACCCTACCGACCGCATAAATCACTCAAGTGACTATCTCGATCGGGGGAAGGACAACGGTGGTCAATACTCGTGCAAGT